GGTGTGGAGGGGCAGGCCACCCCTTCACTGCAGTGAGCCAAGATCGCACCATTGCACTCCAGCCTGAGTGACAGATGAGACTCTGTCTCAAAAAATTAATTAATTAATTAAAAACAACAATAATAACAACAACAAAAATAAAAAAGATAGATCATAGATATAGTAATAAAAGAAAAAATTAAAACAATAAACAACAAAAAGAAATTAAAAAGGTAGATAGATGATAGATAGACAGATAGATAGATAGATAGATAGATAGATAGATAGATAGATAGATAGATACATGAGGAGATTTATGATGGGAATTGGCTCACGTGATTATGATCCCACAATCTGCTGTCTGCAACCTGGAGAACCGGAAAAGCCACTGATCTAACTCCCCCTCCAAGTCTCAAGGCCCAGGAACCAGGAGCTCTGATGTCCGAAGGCAGGAGAAACAGATGTCCCAGCTCATTTTTTGTTCCATGATGCCCACCCACATTGGGGAGGGTGGGTCTGCCTTTCTCAGTCCACTGATCCAAATGCCAATCTTTTCTGGAAACTTCCTCACAGACACATCCAGACATACTGTTTTACCAGCTCTCTGGAGAATCCCTTAGCCCAGTCAAGTTGACATGTAAAATTAACCATTACAACCTCCCAAATAAACTTCTTGTGCTTGAATCCTACTTCTGGGGGAACCCAGGCCTAGACAGACATATTTCCAGGACAAGGGCACCTGGACCACAGGGGTGAATGTCTTCATGATTCTTGTTGTAGACTCAATGCCCTATTTAAACCAAAGTAATTATCTTTCCATTGCTCATGTGACCAATCCCTCCTGAAGACTAAGACTGGTAGATGAAATCCTAGGACGTATCCTCGCACAGCCAAGTGGGGTCCTGGGGTCCTGGCTGCTGTCCTGATGGCTTCAATTCTGTACTTGGAGACCATCTTTGAGCAACTGATAACAACCTCAGTTGCTGGAATGATGAACTCTTGATTATTTATTGATTTATTTTTATTACTTTTAAATAAATGTTATTTTGTTTTTATTTTTGTAGAGATGGGTTCTCACACTCACACCCAAGCTGGAGGGCAGTGGCATGATCACAGCACACTGCGGTGATCACATGTGTGATGTTTTGATAGGGCATGCAATTACAAACAATCCGATTATACCCTTTTATTTTAAGATATACAGTTAAGTTATTTTAGCCACCCTATGAAAGCAACCAACTAACATACATGAAATGACTTAACTGTACATCTTAAAATAAAAGGGTATAATCGGATTGTTTGTAATTCACATGATAAATGCTTGGGATGGATACACCATTCACTATGATGTGCTTATTTCACATTGCACGCCCTATCAAAACATCTCATGTACCCCATAAATATACACACCTACTATGTACCCACAAAAATTAAAAATTAAAATAAATGAAGAAATATACGTGAGCTAACCTGTAGGGTTCATCTACACACGTTTTGAAAAATCAAGAGAAGGGTCAGGTGTGGTGCCTCACCCCTGGAATCCTAGTGCTTTGGGAGGCTGAGATGGGAGGATCGCTTGAGCCCAGGAGTTTGAAACCAGCCTGGGCAACACAGTGAGACTCTCGTCTCTAAAAAATAAATTTTTTGAAATTAGCTCGGTGTGGTGGCACATGCCTGTAGTCCCAGCTACTCAGGAGGCTGAGGCGGAAGGGTCACTTGAGTCCAGGAGTTTGAGGCTGCAGTGTGCTGTGATCATGCCACTGCCCTCCAGCTTGGGTGTGAGAAGTAGGATTCTCTGAAGGCTTCTCGTGTCTTACTGCAGTTAATTGCCACGTCTTCTGTGCCCTAATAGCAGTTTAATGTACTTCCATTTTAGTACCATTTAAAGGTGACAGCAAGCTTTAAAAAAAAGCAAGTCATAGAGAGTACAAGAGAAACGATAAGAACTTGGCTGTAAAAATAAATTCACTTCTAGCCTTTTCTGTTCCCATTTCAAAAGTATGTTGCTTGATGACAATTGGTTTAACATTAATCTCAGAAAGACACATTAAAGTCCTAATCCCTGGTACCTTTGAATGTGACTTCATTTGGAAATAGGGTCTTTGCAGAAACAACCAAGTTAAGACGAGTTCATTAGGGTGGGCCCTAACGCAGTGTCTGGTGTCCTTACAGGAAGAGGAAAATCTGGACACAGAGAACAGGGGGCAGCAGGGGATGTTATGTGAAGATGGAGACAAAGGTTGGAGTGATAAGCGAGTCAAGGGACATGGCTCCAAGTCAAGAGTGGCAGCCACAAGCAACTGGAAGAGGCAAGGAAGGATCCTCCCCTCGAAACCTCAGAGGACCCAGGACCCAGCAGTACTTTGCTATGGCAGCCCTAGCACATGAATGCCCTGCCTGGGTAGCACAATGAGGCCACATGCCATGCCTTTGTTCACTTATTCATTCCATAAATATTTGTTAAACATCTATTCTCTGAAAGGCACTATGCTAATCTGGATTTCAACAGGAAAATGACATGATCAGGTTCCAATTTTAGCCAGGTCACCTAGTAGCAGCAAAGGTGGATTGGAGGACACTGGAGGTAGGGAGCCTCACAGGCCTGTTCCCGGAGGTTAAAAATAATGACAGTGGCTGGTGGCTGGAGGAGAGTGGACCAATCTGAAAGATTATTTAGGAGGTAGAAATATCAGGACCTGATAGTTTGGTTTTCTGTTTTGTTTTGTTTCCTTTCGAGACAGGGTTTTGCTCTGTTGCCCAGAGCAAACGTGGAGTGCAGTGGTGTGATCACAGCTCACTGCAGCCTCAAACTCCTGGGCTCAAACAATCCTCCCATCTCCGCCTCCCAAGTAGCAGAGACTGGAGGCATGTGTCCCCATACCCAGCTAATTTTTTTTTTTTTTTTTTTGAGACGGTCTCACTCTGTTGCCCAGGCTGGAGTGCAATGGCATGATCTTGTCTGACTGCATCGTCCACCTCCCAGGTTCAAGCAATTCTCTGACTCAGTCTCCCAAGTAGCTGGGACTATAGGTGCATACTACCACGCCTGGTTAATTTTTGCATTTTTTAAAGAGGCAGGGTTTCACCATGTTGGCCAGGCTGGTCTCAAACTCCTGGCCTCAAGTGATCTGTCCACTTCTGCCTCCCAAAGTGCTGGAACTACAGGCATGAGCCACCACACCAGTCCCAGCTAATTTTTTTTTCTTTTTTTTTTGAGACGGAGTCACTCTGTCGCCCAGGCTGGAGTGCGGTGGTGTGATCTCGGCTCACTGCAAGCTCCGCCTCCCGGGTTCATGCCATTCTCCTGCTTCAATCTCCTAAGTAGCTGGGACTACAGGTGCCTGCCATCACACCCTAGAGTTTCACCATGTTAGCCAGGATGTTCTCAATCTCCTGACGTCATGATCTGCCTGCCTCGGCCTCCGAAAGTCCTGGGATTACAGGTGTGAGCCACCATGGCCAGCCAGCCCCAACCAATATTTTTTTTTAAAAGTTTTTGTAGAAATGGAGGTCTTGCTATATTGCCCAGGCTGATCTTGAACTCCTGGGCTCAAGCAATCCTCTTGTCTCAGCCTCACAGAGTGCTGGGGCTGGCTGGGTGAGTGACTGCACCCAGCCTCGATAGTTATTTTTTAAAATGAATTTTTGTCAAGCATCCTTGATTGAACCCTAATTACATACATGGTGGAAATTTGGTTTTCCAGCTCACACATCAGGATAACTTATTTTTATGTATTTATTTATTTATCAGCAATGCCTTCTGTATTTCAATCTTATCAATTCTTCCTCCTACGCATGGGATATTAGTGTTATATAAGTTATAGCACTTATAATTGTTATTTGCCTTCTTATCTTCCTTGTTAGACTTTGAACTCATTGAGGTCAGGAGATAAGATTCTCCAGTTTTCTGTCTTTAATACTCCACATGACACTAGTGTTAACTGCTCTGTAGAATTGCACAATTAATGAATCTTCTTAAATATTGATGGCATAATTTGTGGTCTTTTGTTAGGTGGTGAAGGTTTTGTTGTTGTTGTTGTTGTTGTTGTTTGTTGTTATTGTTGGTTGAGATGGAGTTTTGCTCTTGTCGCCCAGGCTGGAGTGCAATGGCAAGATCTTGGCTCACTACAACCTCTGCCTGCCAGGTTCAAGCAATTATCCTGCCTCAGCCTCCCAAGTAGCTGGGATTACAGGTGCCCGCCACCAGACCCAGCTAATTTTTGTATTTTTAGTAGGTACAGGGTTTCACCATGTTATCCAGGCTGGTCTCGAACTCCTGACCTCAGGTGATCTGCCTGTCTCACGCTCCCAAAGTGCTGGGATTACAGGCGTGAGCTGCTGCACTCAATGAAGTTTTTCCTCCAGGAGCCTGAGGAAGGCTGTCTGGTTCTCCGTACTGTTTTCCCTTTGTGGGGACAGCAGCTGCCACCTTTGTGGGGACTTTGGCTGTCACTATGGACTCTGCTACCTAAGATTTCAAAGATCTCAGTGTTATCTGGTCAACTTATCACCCTGGCTAATTAGAGGCACCATTTAGAAGTGAACTTAATTGGATAATTGCAAAGTAATTTAAATATGATAATATTATCTCCAAAAGGTTAATATTAACTAATTTTAGGTAATCATTTTGTAAAGATATAGAATTGCAAAATAAGGCTCTTGTGTTTTTAATAGCATGAAAACTTTTTTTTTTTTTTTTTTTAAACTTTTTTTTTTTTTTTTCTGAGACAGAGTCTCGCTCTGTCGCCCAGGCTGGAGTGCAGTGGCCGGATCTCAGCTCACTGCAAGCTCCGCCTCCCGGGTTTACGCCATTCTCCTGCCTCAGCCTCCCGAGTAGCTGGGACTACAGGCGCCCGCCACCTCGCCTGGCTAGTTTTTTGTATTTTTTAGTAAAGACGGGGTTTCACGGGGTTAGCCAGGATGGTCTCGATCTCCTGACCTCGTGATCCGCCCATCTCGGCCTCCCAAAGTGCTGGGATTACAGGCTTGAGCCACCGCGCCTGGCCGCATGAAAACTTTTTGAACTCAGCTTTTATTTCTTAACCTTATGACTGTTCTATAGGCTCCACCCATCCTGTGGGTGGGACAAGTGGCCTCAGGGAAGGAGAGACACCTCTTCCCTGCCCCTTCCCAAAATCACTCAAGGAAGAGGATCCCATGGTCAAATCTCCCACCCTCGCCACATATCGCACGATCTCTCACCTCACCAAGCTTCTGCTGCTTCGTCCATAAGATGGGGATAATAACGGCTCCTGCCAAACAGTGCCTGTGCAAGGATTAGAAGATTCAATGGGTGCAAAATGCAGAGAAGGGGGCATACTCTATGTGAACTCCCTTCCTTCTCCAGCCCCGAAGTTCATGTTCTTCTTCTCCCCAAAGGGAGGAGGTGAAAGCATTCTACTTCCTCTGAGAGTATCTTAGAGCCTCCCAAGGGCTGACTGTGATTCACCACCCAGCCTTCTGCCCTCCCGATGCAAATCCAATTCTGCCATCTCTGGATTGCTACAGAAGCAGCACTGTCAACTTGTGCAAACATGTGTGCCTTGTGAGGAAGCCAGGAGATCTCCAACCCAACACCAAGGCCAGGAGGGGTCTGTTGGTAAAGGCCTCCATGCAATGCAGACCTCCTTGCAACGTAGACCTCCTTGCTCTGTGTTTCTTCCCAAGGCCTCTGTGCAGTGCAGACTTTCTCCCTCTATGCTCTAATTTTCTTCCCAGTTTCCTCTCAGCAACTCACACCTCCACTCCCACCAATCTGTTGGAAAGTTTCCTGTTCCCTCCCTCCCTCTCTCTTCTGCTCTCATCTTTCTTGCTTCTCTCCCACCACAGCCCTACACAACACACACCTCTCCCTCGACAATCCAGAGCAATTTGTGTAGCAGCCACCCCATGTGATATCTTGAATCTGGGCACAAGCAGGTCCTGCTAGTAGGAACGCTCTTCTTGTCTTTTCCACATGGCCAATGCCTACCAATCCTTCAGGTCTTGGAGCAAACATTAGTCTTTCTGTGATGTCCACTCTCCATTATGCTCCTCCAGCCTTGTACGATGTCCCATACCCTCCTCTGTTGCCAAGCATGCTGTGTTCCGTATTTGTGGAACAGATGAATGAAGATGCATGGACTAATTTACATTTTTACCATTGTCAGCCATGGGCTTCCCTGACATTGCACCCTCTCAACTGGCTTTCCATCCAGCCATAACTGCCTCAGCCTCCCTTGGTCACCTATAAATGCCATCTCAGCAGTTCTGGTAACTCAGCACTGCCAAAAGAACTTTCTGTGATTATGGAAATGTTCTGTGATGGCACTGTCCAATATAACAGCCACCAACCATACAGGGTCACAGAGCCCTTGAAATGTGGCTACTGTGAATGAGGAACTCACTTTTTCATTTAACTTTTTTATTTTTTTTTATTTTTTTTTTGAGATGGAGTCTGGCTCTGTCGCCCAGGCTGGAGTGCAGTGGCCGGATCTCAGCTCACTGCAAGCTCCGCCTCCCGGGTTTACGCCATTCTCCTGCCTCAGCCTCCCGAGTAGCTGAGACTACAGGCGCCCGCCACTTCGCCCGGCTAGTTTTTTTGTATTTTTTAGTAGAGACGGGGTTTCACCGTGTTCGCCAGGATGGTCTCGATCTCCTGACCTCGTGATCCGCCCGTCTCGGCCTCCCAAAGTGCTGGGATTACAGGCTTGAGCCACCGCGCCCGGCCTTCATTTAACTTCATTGCAATTAACGTATATTTAAATGCAAATAGCCACGTGTGCTTAGCAGCTACTGCGTTGAACAGCACAGCTAAACTGTCACATGAATAGCTTCATTGAACATCTTCTCCTAGGATGCTATTGCCTGCAGTATAAAGGTCATATTCTTAGAAACGCTGCACAGTGCAATCCTTAAACCACCTACCAGCCCCAGGTAGTGGAGATGAACATGGCTGCAAGTACAGATTCTAGAGCCAGGCTACCGTGATTCAAAGCCCAGCTCGGGGATACTGAGCAAGTTTTTTAGCTTCTCTGTGCCTCACTTTCCTTATTTTTAAAATGGGGCAAAATCACCTAAACTCAGGATTATTGTGAGGAGGACATGGATTCATATGTGTAAAAGAGTTAGAAGAGGGTCTGGCATATATAAAGCTCTCAATAAATGGCCAATGGTCCTCCTGCCTGGAGAGGACACACCCTCCTCCGTCCCCATTCAAATACTTCCCACTCTTAAGGGCTCAGCTGTGCACTCCCTCCTCCAGGAAGCCTTCTTTCCTAATCCTCCCCAGCATCACCAAGCTTTCCTTCCTCAGAACTCCTATGATACTTCCTATCTGTGCCTCTTGTTGAGCAGCTATTCTAGGCAACTAATTATTACTTACTGTGTGTGTACATGACTTCACAGCCAGGCTAAAGGAGACTTAAATTCCAACGTTCCTATGTACTGGTGTCTATTTTTCAACTGCATGCAACTAACTCAAAATCAGTATGTTTGATTATTATATTGACCGGCCATTTCAGTTTTTCTGTCTTTCCCAAGAAAGGGGGAAAGAATGCTCTGAGTGTCTACTGTATTTTAAGCACTGTGTGACATACACAGTTTTACATTGTTTAATTTCAACTTTGTAGCCACTCAATGAGGCAGATGTTATAATTTCCATTTCAGAGATCAGGAAACTGAGGGTCTGAGATTTAAGTATGTGGTTCAGACGTTTAGTTTGTCAATGGAACAACTGAAATCCAAATGCAAATGTGATTGTTGGGGTAGCTAGTTTCCAAAGATGGCCTCAAAGGGACCACAGAGCCCAGACCCTATAGTCACAACTTTGAGTGGTCCCTCCTCATGGAATTTTTGCTGGCCCTGTGATTGGCTCTAACCAATAGAAGGTAGTGGAAGCTAAACTATGTCAGTTCTGGTGTAGCCTTAAAAGGTATTGGCAACTTCTGCTTCCTCTCTTTTGTGTCATTCACCTTTGGGAGACCTTTGATGTTATGTATTATAAAAAGTTTGGTTACTGTGCTGGAAAGATCTTACAGAGAGAAAGTGAAGCCAACGCCCAGCCCCTCTAACATCCTAGTCAACTTCCAGTAACCATGTAAGGAACCCTGAGCAATGAAAGCAGAAGAACCGCCCAGCTGAGCCCACTCAACCTACAGAACTTAGAGAGCGCATGAATGACTGTTGTTTTAAGCCACTACATTTTGGAGTGGGATGTTACACAGCAACAAGTAACCAAAACTCTTAAATAACATGTGCCATTTCCCTCTACGTTACCATTGACCCTGTTCTCTTATGCACTGGCCAGTTTTCAGTCCCGTTTTAAGGCAGTGAATGCATTATAGAAATCGTCTATGAAACAATCACTTTTGCTCTCCTAGGTCTTCCACAGCCAGCAGCTCTGAAAGGTGGGAAGCATTACAGTTTTGTGGTGAAGAACGTGTACTGATCTGCTGCTGACCTACACCAAGTTACTCCACATCTCTGAGACTATAAAAATAAGATGCTAGTGACGTCCTTCTAGGGATGTGGAGGGATTAAAAGAAAGACTGCTACTAGAACACGTAGCACAGTACCTAGCACATGCAAGCATTCAGATCAGAGGCTGGAGGAGAGCAGGCCACGAGACAGCTCCTACTGGAACCAATCCCTCATCCCATTCTCCCCATATTAGTGAAAACAACAGAACACAAGGGTCAGGCCTCCATGGGTTCAGAGCAATGCCAAAGCTTTTGAGGGGAAGAGCAGCTGCTGCTTCATGTCAATGGGTTTTCAACATGAAGGCAGTCCTGCAAACCACCATGATACCACTTCCCCTTTGGGAAATATATATCCAGCCTCAGCCTCCAAACAAAAAGAACATCATGGAAGCCAAAAAAGGCAGAGACTAGGTCTCATTAATCACCTCCATTCCCTCACAGCTTGGCGTGTGGTAGGTGTCAGGTTCAAAAAGGCACAGATTTGTTTTGTTCACTGCTACATTTCCAGCACATAGTAGGTGCTCAATCAATATGTGTTGAATGGGCCAGGCTCAGTGACTCATGCCTGTAATCTCAACACTTTGGGAGGCCAAGGCAAGTGGATCACTTGAGCTCAGGGGTTTGGGACCACTTGCCCAATTGCCTGGGCAATATGGCAAAACACAATCTCTATAAAATACAAAAAAATTAGTCCAGAGTGGTGGCACAGGTCTATTGTCCCAGTTACTCAAGAGGCTGAGGTAAGAGGATCACTTGAACGTAGGAGGTTGAGGCTGCAGTGAGCTGAGATTGCACCATTGCACTCCAGCCTGGGTGGGTGATAGAGTGAAACCCTGTCTCAAAAAAACAAGTGTTGCATGCACTGCCTGCAGCGGACACTGTCAGTTGCCTACCCCAGGCCATTCCCTCTTTTTCCTTGCTAATGGAATTTTGACAAGATGCAGATGGCAATGATGCCACTCCAGGGGTGACTCAGAGGAAATTAAAGTTCATTGGAGGCAATTAAAGTTCATCAGAGGAAATTAAATTAAACTTCGTCCAAGGCAATTAAAGAGTGCCTGTTCCTCTTAGCCCGTGATTGGTTAGGGGTGGTCATGTGACACAGTTTGATTCAGCCAATGAGGCACAAGAGAAAATCTGCTCAGAGGATTCTGGGAAAGGTTTCCCTCCAGCACAAAATGAGAGGTCTACAAAGAAAACGCCTCCTCTGTCCCTACCTTATCTTCCTGCTTTTGCATATCTCTATGTGAGGCCATAATTTCCAGGGTGATGGCAATCATTCATAACCAGAACTGAACAAGCCAAGGATGAGAAGCCAACCTTCTGAGTCTGGAAGTGTGGAAGCCCTCACCAGGCGAGCTTCTGAGTCACCCAGCACGCCACCTCTTGAGGGCTTGATGTCTGCAATAAATGAGCATCTTTAGAGTTTCAGCAGAAGTTCTGTTACCAGCAGCCAAAGTGTCTTCCGTTCTTCATTGTGACTTAATGATATTGATATGGGCTGAACTGTGTTCTGTAAAATTCATACATTGAAGCCCTAACACCCCATATAGCAGAATGTGACTGTATTTGGAGACAGGGTCGTTAAAAAGCAGTTTCAACAGATGTTCTGTTACCGGCAGCTAAAGTGTCTTCCCTTACTCATTGTGACTTAATGATATTGTTACGGGCTGAATTGTGTTCTGCAAAATTCATACGTTGAAGCCCTAACACCCCATATGGCAGAATGTAGACTGTATTTGGAAATAGAGTGGTTAAAAAGGTGATTAAATTAAAATGAGGCCATTAGGTTGGCCTCTGATCCAATTTAACTGGTCTCCTTATAAGAAGAGAAAATTTGGTTACAGTGGCTTGTGCCTGCAGTCCTAGCTACTCAGGAGGCTGAGGCAGGAGGATCGCTTGAGCCCCGGTGTTAGACCGCAGTGAGCTATGATTGCACCACAGAACTCCAGCCTGGGCAACAGAGTGAGAGCCTGTCTCTTAAATAAATAAATAAAATTTAAAAATAAAAGAGGAGATTTAGACACGCTAAGAAACAGCAAGGAAGTGTGCACACAGAGAAAGATTATATGAAGACACAGCAAGAAATCAAACCCACTACCTTGATCTTCCAAAGAACCTGATACCTTTTTTTTTTTCCGTTTGTTTGTTTTTGTTGTTTTGAGACAGATTCTTACTCCACTGCCCAGGCTGGAGTGCAGTGGTGCAATCATACATAGCTCACTGCAGTCTCGAACACTCCTGGCTGGAATGGTGGGATCTCAGCTCACTGCAACCTCTGCCTTGCCACTTCAAGCAATCCTCCTGCCTCAGCCTCCCCAGTAGCTGAGATTACTGGCACGTGCCAGCATGCCTGGCTAATTTTGTATGTTTAGTAAAGATGGAGTTTCACCATGTTGGCCGGGCTGGTCTTGAACTCCTGACCTCGGGTGATCTGCCTGTCTAGGCCTCCCAAAGTGCTAGGATTACAGATGTGAGCCACCATGCCCAACCAAAACCTGATACCTTAATCTCAGACTTCTAGCCCCTAGAACTGTGAGAAAAAAAAAAAATTTCTGTTGTTTAAGACATCCAGTCTGTGGCATTTGTTATGGCAGCCCTAGGAAATGTATACAGATATCTATTGTTATGCTTAATTTATTACCACCATTAGGTTTTTTGTGGTTTTTGTTTGTTTCTTTGCTTGTTTTTGAGACAGGTCTTTGTCGTCCAGACTGGAGTGCAGTGGTGCAATCATGGCTCACTGCAAGCTCAAACTCACCGGGCTCAGGCGATCCTCCCACTTCAGCCTCCCAAATAGCTGGGACCACAGGTGTTTGCCACCACCACCATGACCAGCTAATTTTTCTATTTTTTATAGAGGCAAGGTCTCGCCATGTTGCCCAGGCTGGTCTCAGACTTCTGACCTCAAGTGATCCACCAGCATCAGCCTCCCAAAATGCTGGGATTACAGTCATGAGCTGTGCGCGGACTCCATTCGTATTTTAAAAATCCTTTATCTCATTTATCTGTCCCTTGGGGGCAGTTGGGACCGGGATGAAAGAGCTTGCCCTTGCTCTTATATAAGAATGCAGTGACACCAACTCAAGACCCAAGACTGGCCCTCTCAGTGCCCATCCACCCATTGACACATCCACCCATTACTTCATTCAGTAAAAATCCAGCAAACAGCCATCGTGCATTGGAGCTGTGTAGAATTATCAGGGTAAGTACTTTGAAGTCGGGCTGCCTGGTTGTGCTTCCTAATTTGACTCACTCCTCACTGTGAGATTGAGGGCAAGCCAGTTATCTTCCCTGTGCTCTCTGACCTTGAGAATGGTTGTAGGAACACACATCTCATAGGACTGTGTAAGGCCAGGGCGAACCGGTGCAGGTAAACTGCTCAGTTGCTTTTCTGAATATGCAAAGATTGACAAGAAGGGAGAGCACAGTCACGTTTTGACTCATATAATTTTTTTTTTTTTTTTTTTTGAGACAGATTCTTGCTCTGTTGCCCAGGCTGGAGTACAGTGGTGGGATCTCAGCTCACTGCAACCTTCACCTGCTGGGTTCAAGCGATTCGCCTGCCTCAGCCTCCGAGTGGCTGGGATTATAGGTGCACACCACCATACCAGGCTAATTATTGTATTTTTAGTAGAGACAGGGGTTTTACCATATTTGCCAGGCTGGTCTCAAACTCCTGACCTCAAGTGATCTGCCCGCCTCAGCCTCCCAAAGTGCTGGGATTACAGACTTGAGCCACCGCACCTGGCATGTTTTCACTCATATGGTTTTATTGTAACCCTTCCAACAAGCCCTGTGACATAAATACTGCCATCCCCATTTTGCTGAACGAAGTTCAGAGAGGTCACGTGACAATAGCTGCAGCGTTGCTGAATCTCAGAGCTGAGTTCCATACCCTGGTCTTCTGACCTCTAAGCCCTGAGCACTTTCTTGCACCCTGGTGGTGTCGTTTTTTTCCCTGAGACTTTAGTGTATGCCAGACATTCCCATGTAATCCTCACAAGAACGCAGCTTTCACAAGCTAGGAATAAAGAACTCTGACATGGATACACATGTTTAGACCACACAGTGGGATAAACTGGCAAGTTATTGGAGGTCTTACTGGAAAGGTGGATCAAAGGGAAATGCCCTGTAAGAGAATGGGAGGAAAAGGTAAAGGCATTGATTGGTAACTGTCTTAGACAAAGTGCTTTCGTTAGACCCTTTACAGTAGGCTTGAGGTGCTAATATCATTATGCCTCACTTTATAGTTGAAAAAAGAGAGGCTCAAAGAGGGTAGAATGGCCCAGGCACACAAAGAATGGACGAGCTGGCCAGGCACGGTGGCTCACACCTGTAATCCCAGCACTTTGGGAGGCCAAGTGGAGCAGATCACTTGAGGTCAGGGGTTTCAGACCAGCCTGGCCAATATGGTGAAACCCCATCTCTACTAAAAATACAAAAATTAGCCGGGGGTAGTGGCGGGCACCTGTAACCCCAGCTACGGTCGGGAGGATAAGGCAGAAGAATCGCTTGAACCCGGAAGGCAGAGGCTGCAGTGAGCCAAGATCACGCCACTGCACTCCAGCCTGAGCGACAGAGTGAGACTCCATCTCAAAAAAAAGAAGAAAAGAAAAGAAAAAAGGATGAGCTGTAATTTTTTTTTTTTGGGGGGGGGATGGAGTCTCACTCTGTCACCCAGGCTGGAGTGCAGTGGCACCATCTCGGCTCACTGCAACCTCCACCTCCTAGGTTCAAGTGATTCTCCTGCCTCACCCTCCCGAGTAGCTGCAATTACAGGTGCTCATCACCATGCCCGGCTAATTTTTGTATTGTATTTTTAGTAGAAACGAGGTTTCACCATGTTGACCAGGCTAGTCTTGAACTCCTGACCTCAGATGATCTGCCCACCTTGGCCTCCCAAAGTGCTAGGATTACAGGCATGAGCCACCATGCCCAGCCAATGAGCTGTAATTTGAATTTAGTTTCAACTCAGGCATGTAGCATCTTTCCTCAGGGTCAGGTCTTCGCAACTCCTGCTGCACACATGTAGGCACTTATTATTATTATTATTATTTTTTTTTTTTAAGACGGAGTCTTGCTCTGTCGCCCAGGCTGGAGTACAGTGGCGAGATCTCAGCTCACTGCAAGCTCTGCCTCCTGGGTTCACGCCATTCTCCTGCCTCAGCCTCCCGAGTAGCTGGGACTACAGGTGCCGGCCACCACGCCCGGCTAATTTTTTTTTTTTTTTTTTTGGTAGAGACAGAGCCTCATTATGTTGCCGAGGCTGGTCTTAAATTCCTGGGCTCAAGTGATCCTCCCGCCTTGGCCTCTGAAAGTGCTAGGATTACAGGTGTGAGTCACTATGCCCAGCCAATATAAAAAAACTGATGGCTGAGATCCACCTTCAGAGATTGTGCGTCAGTGGGTCTGGAGTAAGGCCCAGCACCAGTACAGTTAGTGCCGCCAACCAGGTGATTCCAATGTGTGCCAGGGCAGAAGCACAGCCAGAACACACAGCTGTCCGGAATGAATGGCCCAAGGTGCTGGCATGTGGTCTCAGCCCAGACCAGACATCATTATTCTCAGCTGGGTTGCATAAAGGCCAATGCCACTGCCTTTTCTTACTCTACCCACAGAGCAAATGACTGGTTCTTTCTTTAAGCAAAATACGTTAAGATGAGTTCATTAACTTCAATCAGTGCATATAGCAAGTTGAATATGAATTTCAGGCAATGGCAACACGCCAAGATACACAAATAATAGGGAAGCTCAGATCAAATTCAGGCATCGTTTTGCCCTCTTGATAGACCAGGAAGTTGAAATGAAGTTTCTTTTTTACTATTCTGTTTACTTATTTATTTTTTGAGACAGAGTCTCACTGTGTGGCCCGGCTGGAGTGCAGTGGTGCCATCTCAGCCTACTGCAATGTCTGCCTCATGGGTTCAAGAGATTCTCCTGCCTCAGTCTCCTGAATATCTGGGATTGCAGGCGTCCACCACCATGCCAGGATAATTTTTGTATTTTTAGTAGAGACAGGATTTCGCCATGTTGGCCAGGCTGGTCTCGAACTCCTGACCTCAAGTGATCCACCCACCATGGCCTCCCAAAGTGCTGGGATTACAGGCATGAGCCACTGCTCCTGGCCCGTCTTTTTTACTATTCTTTATAGTTTCTGAGAAAAGTCTCTGGTTCCCGTTCACTATTTTTTAAATGGGTACATGAAACATTTTATGTCTCCTTCTTCCAAAAAGAAAATAATGAATTAAGTTCCTCTTTATGATTATTAGAGGGGAGCATCAGGGTCTTTACTAAAAACAAAACAAAACATAAAACCTTACCCGTCTCTGCTGAAGGGGTTCCCTGCTGTGCACCAGACATTCGCATGATCACAGAGCTCACCTCAAAGCTCTCCTAATTTCCAGCATCTCTGATGGCCCCGACTGCCTCTCTTCTTGTTCTGATCATAAACATCTCCAGCTCTTGGATTACGTCGGGCAACATAACAGGAGGCACTGAATTCTCTCTGCTTTTTAGAACCTAGCCCAAAGCAAGATTTTTTTTGGTTAAGCCAAAAGTGAAACTGGAGAGGGAAAGCTGAGGGTACAATAAGAGGATTAAAGATTAGCTATGACACATGCCTTGGAAATTAACCTTTAACCAAACATCTTATAAATAACGCCAGCGCAGCTTCTCCTGTGAATGTAAAGAGATCCTGGGCTCTCGGAGAGGGAGAAGTCACAGCCAGCCAAAAAGGAAAAAGCAAAGGCAGAAACGGCATCAGGAGAGACAGAGATGTGAAGGAGGGAAGGAGCAGGAGAGCAGGAAGGAAACGCAGGAGGAGGGAGCAGCAGCTCCTTTGAACACAGAGGAGCATCTGTTTGCTGTTAAAATCAGTCTCCCTCGGCACCCTGAACAATGGATATAATATTTGGCAGGAATAGGAAAGAACAGCTGGAGCCTGTGAGGGCCAAAGTGACAGGTGAGCATTCTGATAAACACTGGGCTCTTTCTTCTGTTTATTTTATTTTGTTTATTTTTTTTTTGAGGCGGAGTCTCGCTCTGTCGCCCAGGCTGGAGTCCAGTGGGGTGGTCTCGGTGCACTGCAACCTCTGCCTCCTGGGTTCAAACCATCCTCCCACCTCAGCCTCCCGAGTAGCTAAGATCACAAGTGCCCACCACCAAGCCCGGCTAATCTGTGTATTTTTAGTAGCGACGGGGTTTCAGCATGTTGGCTCCTAGCCTCAAGTGATCCGCCTCCCTCCGCCTCGGAAAGTGCTAGGATTACAGGGGTGAGCCACTGCACCTGGCTTCTTCCTTATGTTTAGATGGACACTTTTTTTCCTGATTATATAAGTAATACTAATTGTAAATTACTTTTGGAAAGTCCAGAGAACAGTACAGAGAGGGGACACATTTTCTGTGAAAATGGTGTGCTTTTACACATTACAACTCCGTTTCCAAAGGGAGGAGAGTCAGTCTCACTGTTCCCAGGAAAAAAGTGTCGGAATGCCCCAGTGGGTACACATACAATGGGATTAATCTGCAAACTGCTGCCTGTCTCAGATGCATGATGTATTTGTGCAAATGTATGCATTCTAAATTAGTTTCAGAATGCTTAGAGGGGCGTGCATGAGCTCCCACGCGTGCACATCCACCACGCACACTTGCAGGGGATTGCAGTCTGATGTGATTGTCTGTCAGAACTCACAGGTGTCAGCACCTGTAGAGCCTATAGGAGTAGGACTTTCTATCTTTTAGAGGCCCTGTGGCTCACTTCATCTTTTATATCTCTTGCTTTTTCCTCCTCTTTTGGGTTGCCACTTTCCTCGAACCATCTTGTTTGGTCTCCAAAGGGCAGTTCCTGGTTCTGGACTCCCGGGTCCCCAGAGTGGTACTCGCTCAGTTTTAAGAAGAGCTGAGTCAGCTCAGGCCCGCAGACATTTTCATCTGCTAGATGGACTTCAGTTGTTCATAAGGAGAGGACAACTGTGAGTGATTTTTGTGAGAACATCAGATTGAAGCTTTTCAACTGAGCAATTGCCTTGGGAGTCTTTTGAAAGAAAAAAAATAGCTTTTATGTATATTTTTTCCTGGTTACAAAGGTAAGGCACAATCTATAGCTATCAATCTGTATATACATATATAGCTGTATGTATATTATATATAAATTAATTAGGAGTGCAATTGAAAACATGGAAGGAAATAAAATCAGCTGTATTTCCAAATCTCTTAAACACTTAATATTTGGGTATATTTCCTTTAACTTTTTAAAACATAGGTAGATGAATCAATAGATAACTTTACTATATTTGTAAATAGTTTTTGAAAAAGCAAATATATACCGTTAAATTTATTTTTCTCAATCTGACTGTTCATCTGTGCATTTTTTATTTTTTAAAAGGACACCCAAGGCCAGGCGCAGTGGCTCATGCCTGTAGTCCCAGTACTTTGGGAGGCCAAGGAGGGTGGATCACTTGAAACCAGGAGTTTGAGACCAGCCTGGATAATATGGCGAAACCCCTCTCTACTAAAAATACACAAATTAGCCAGGCATGGTGGCACGCACCTGTAGTCCCAGCTACTCAGGAGGCTGAGGCAGGAGAAGTGCTTGAACCCCAGAGGCAGAGGTTGCAGTGAGCTGAGATAGTGCCACAGCACTAGGGTCTTGGCAACAGAGTGAGACCCTGTCTCAAAAAAAACAAAAAAAATAAAAATAAATAAATAAGTAAATAACAGGCACCCCAGCTGGTGAAACCCTGTCTCTACTATTTGGTTGATGCAAAAATAATCACGGTTTTTGTCATTACTTTCAATGTATTTTATTTGAAATTTTGTTTTAAATAAAAGCACAAAAATTAGCCAGGCGTGGTGGTGCATATCTATAAAACCAGCTCCTCAGGAGACTGGGCATGAGAATCGCTTGAACCCAGGAGGCAGAGTTTGCAGTGAGCCAAGATCACGCCACTGCACTCTAGCCTGGGTGAGAGAGTGAGACTCTGTCTCAAAAAAAAAAAAAAAAAAAAAAAAAGGCATCTATGATACCTACCTTTCCCTGCCCTGGAATGTTATGAATATTTTGTACCCTTTACACCTCATGTTTAATGACTGCATGAAATCATTGGAAATGTTAGAAAACACGAATTCTAGAACATGAGAGGCTGAATGAACCCCAAAGATCAGCAGCGGTTCTCAAAGGTGTGTCCCCGGACCTGCAGCGTAAGCACCACCTGGGCACTGGGTAGAAATAAACATCCTTGGGCCCCACCCAGACCCATGGCATCAGACACTCTGGGGGTGGAGCTCAGCAAGCTGTGTGTTCACAAGCCCTCTGGTGATTCCAAGGGGGAGAACCATTCCTCTACATCAAGCCTCCCTATTGACAGATGGGAAACTGAGGCAGAAGAGCAGTGACTTGCCAAGGCCAGACAGGCTGCAGAGAACGGACCTCCTCACCCTCCGTGCAGGCCTGGGTTGAGCCTAATCAGTGGGTAACATCCATGGGCAGGCAGCTAGCTAAAACCTGTGCCTGGGGTGACGCATCCATGCAGGGAACACATGCAAAGGTTCTGCCTTTGTAACTGGCTGTGCCAGCACATGTGTGTTCTGAGACCTCTTTGGCAACTTAAGCATTTCCTGCCTCAGTGTTCTTTTCTGTCTGATGAATGTAGCCTGGCACCTCCCACACAGGGTTGCTGCAATGATTAAGTGGTTTAATCTGCCTAGAACACAGTGGCTGGTGTGTGAATGTGCATAAATTTTCTTGTCCTATCTAGGGTTTTAATTATATTCTCAGATGCCTCTCTCCCTGCTCTGTCTCAAGCCTGCCCCCTCTCCTGTGCCCTGGGTGCCTGTGTCTGGCGCCAGGATTGTGTAGGTGCCCAAGGCAAGAGACTTGACTGTCTTTTTTTTTTTTTTTTGAGACGGAGTTTCACTCTTGTCACCCAGGCTGGAGTGCAATGGCGCAATCTCGGCTCACTGCAATCTCCACCTCTTGGGTTCAAGCGATTCTTCTGCCTCAGCCTCCCAAGTAGTTGGGATTACAGGTGCCCGCCACCACACCCAGCTAATTTTTGTATTTTTAGTAGAGACGGGGTTTCATCATGTTGGCCAGGCTAGTCTCAAACTCCTGACCTCAAGTGATACACCCGCCTTGGCCTCTCCTCATGCTGGGATTACAGGCGTGAGCCACCGCGCTGGCCTTGGCTGTCATTTTTCAGCGTTCCACTCCACATCCCCCCATATTTAATCAAATAGAGGCCCATCAGTTCTGTGTCTTCCATGTATCTTTGTTCATCCATTTCTCTCCATCCCTGTGGAATCCCCGGGTCCTCTCTCTGGTCTTCCTGCCTCTCTCAGGGAATTTCCCAGTCCACACCACGGACAGAGAGAACCTTCGAAGTTCCAAGATCCTATTCCATTTATATCAGGGGTCCCCGACCCTCGAGCCGTGGACCAGTATCAGTCTGTAGCCTGTTAGGAACCGGGCCGCACAGCATTACCGCCTGAGTTCTGCCTCCTCTCAGATTGGTGGCATTAGATGCTCATAGGAGTGCAAACCCTACTGTGAGCGTGAACCCCGTTGTGAACACGCATGTAGGGATCTAGGTTGTGTGCTCCTTAGGAGAATTGACCCCCCCAACCCCACTGTCCATGGAAAAATTACCTTCCACAAAACCAGTCCCTGGTGCCAACATGTTTGGGGACCGCTGATCTATATGGAATCCAGAACAGACAAATCCCTAGGAAAATAGATGGGTGCCTGCCAGGGGCTGGGGGTAAGGGGAGAAGAGGTACGGCTAGTGCATAAGGGGGATGTCTTTTTGGAGTGATGGAATGTTCTGGAATTAGGTGATGGTTGCACAACATTGTAAATTCACTAGAACCCCCTGAGCTGTACACTTTAAAATGATGAGTTTTATCTCAATTTTTTTTTAATTGCAGAAAAAATCTGGTCCTGTCCTTCCCTATTATAACCATCAAATATGCCCCATTCTTCTGAGGATTAGATCAGGACCCTTAGTGTGATCCTGTTGACCTTCGTCCCCTGGCCCCTGTTATTTCTGCAGTTTCATTGCTCACAATTTTCTTGCTTGAAAATGATGGTCCAGTCTTACTAAACAGCTTGCCCGTCTCCTGGTCTTGATCATTCCTTCATTCATTTGTTTATTTATGAGACGGAGGCTTGCTCTGTCACCCAGGCTGGAGTGCAGTGGCGTGATCTCAGCTCACTACAAACTTCCACTTCTGCGTTTAAGCAATTCTCCTGCCTCGGCCTCCAGAGTGGTTGGGATTACAGGCACCTGTCATCACACCTGGCTAATTTTTGTATTTTTGGTGTAGGCGGGGTTCCTGACCTCAGCCTCACCTCCCAAAGCACTGGGATTACAGGCATGCCTCAGAGTGTCCGGCCTCCTGGTTTTCA